CTACCATGCACCTTATAACTGTGTGACCTTAAGAAATTGGCCTGTTTGCTCACAATCCCAATTTTGCATTCTGACGAAAGAGACACAGTAACTATTTCTATGCAGCAGTTCTTATAAAATGATGCACTTAGGGGCTGGGAAGGTGGCTCAGTGGTAGAGCACTTGCCTTGCATGCCTGAGGCCCTGAGTTCGATTCCTCAGCACCACATTAGCAAAAAGAAAAAAGCCGGAAGTGGTGCTGTGGCTCAAGTGGTAGAGCACTAGCCTTGAGCTGAAATGCTGAGGGACAGTGCCCAAGCCCAGAGTTCAGGACCCACGACCAGACCCCCCCCCAAAAAAAATAAATTAATTAAATAAAATGATGCACTTAAAATGGTGCCTGGAAAAAAAAGCAGTGGGCATTATTGTTGCTGTGTACATTGTACATATTTCTCACTGTTTTCACTCTTAGGAAGGGCTGGCCATGCCTATAAGAGGAATTCCAGGTTGGCACAAGTGGCTCAGGCCTATAATCCTACTCAGGAAACTGAAATCTGAGGCTCACGCTTCAAAGCCAGCCCAGACAGGAAAGTCTATGAGAGTCCCTGAGTTCAAGCCTCAGGACTGGCAAAAAATGTACTAAGGCCATAGCTTAGTACCTACTGCCCACACTTCTTTTGTGGTATTGAGAATTGAATCCAATATTATTCACTTTTTTCAACTATAATATAGTTTCTTTGGCCCACCCTACATTGCAGGGTCTAAGATAGGAATAGAAATGGAGGTTCAATTACATACCATTGGAAGCTGTAAATGAAATCCAAGCTAGTAAATCAAACACAATCTCTCCTTCTACCTTTCAAATACAACTTACACCCACCTGGATGGCCAGACCGCAAACAAGATTCTGTGGCTCTCCATGCAGAAACACATTGGAGACTCAACCTCAGCCCTCAGCTTAATCTCTTTCTCTGCTCAAATGCCCTCACCAACCCAGGCAGCCTTCCCTCAGGATGAGAGATAATAAACAGAGAAAGAAACCCCCACTGGCCCTTTAAGTGGGCTTTGAGCAAAGTTGTACAGGAATGTTCACATCTTGGAGATGCAAACTGTGTTTTAGCAGGAGACATGGATACATCCTCTTAGCACTAAAGACCCTTCATCCATAGCAAGGTGCATATCCCCAGGAGAGCTAGCAAGGAGCCCCCTTGAATCAAGGACTCAAAGCAGCAGGCTAAGGGGCAAAACTGCAACCCCAGTCAGTCACTGGTGGCTTACACCTATAATCCTTGCTACTCAGGAGGCTAAGATCTGAAGATCTTAGTTAAAGTCAGCCTGGGCAGAAAAAGCTGAGAGACTCTTATCTCCAAATAACAAGCACAATGCCAGAAGTAATGTGGCTCACGTGGTAGATCACCTGACCTGCCTTGCTTGAAAAAGTTAGAGCAAGAGACCCTGAGGTCAAGCCCCCCGTACCAAAAACAAAACACATAACTTTGTAATAGTAAATCCTTCCTATCCACCTACCCAAATAGATTTACAGCACAAGAAATGTTTTAGCAAGGTACTGGTAGCTCACACCTGTAATCCTAGCTACTCAGGAAGCTAAGATCTAAGGATTGCAGTTCAAAGCCAGTCCGGGCAGGAAAGTCCGTAAGACTCTTACCTCCAATAAACCACTCAGAAAACTGGAAGTGGTGCTGTGGCTCAAGTGGTAGAGCACTCACCTTGAGCTGAAGAGCTAAGGGGCAGTGCCCAGGCCCAGAGTTGAAGCTTCACGACCAACAAAAAAAAAAGTTTTTAACAGAGAAAAAAAGCTCCCAGGTATTGGAGATGAGCTACTGCCTACAACTGAAAGCCTTAAGACTAAAGAAAAGACAAAAGAGTTCCAGCTGTGGGTTCTTAAAGAAAGTAATTTATGCAAGTTCATTTCTTTAAGGAGACATGTTTTTCCACATGTCAATTTCTGGGAACATTTTTGTGTTATTATTATATAAAATACATCAGACGATATATGAATTTCAAAAATGTAATACATTTTGCCAACAGAAAATATCATCCGTCTTTCTAAGGAGGTGTTAAATACTTCATTATATAATACGCTGCCTCATTCATATTATTAGCCGTGAATTCAATTTGGAGTTTACTGCTCTTCTCAAAAGCTTAGCATTATTTAACTGTAATAATTCCCAATCATAACAACTCAGATGATTGATTCTGTTTAATCACAGATGTTTCTACAATGCTAAAAAGTCTGTATTATTTTTGTTTGAAGCTAGCACACCAAGTCCCACAGTATGGTATAATTAAGAACAACTGTTTACTTTATCTTAAATTCAACACCCCTCACCCCCACCTCAAAAGCTAGACATTAAAGTACTAAATATAATGATCTCGGTAAACCAAATTGCTATGTTACTGGCAGGCCTTCCTGCTGTTTCCCTTAAACAGTTCTATTTGTAATGGTGATGAAGAGGAAAAGAAAGAGAGAAAAAAGGAAGAGAGGAAGAGAGAGCGCAAGCAATCAAGAGAGAAGGAAGGAAGGAAGGAAGGAAGGAAGGAAGGAAGGAAGGAAGGAAGGAAGGAAAGGAGTGGAGGAAAGGAGGGAGGGAAGGCAGGCAGGAAGGCAGGAAGGCAGGCAGGAAGGCAGGAAGGAAGGAAGAGAGGAAGGGAGGAAGTGAACAAAAGAAAGAAAGAAAGCTGGTAAAATATGCAGCTTTCCCTCAACTGTATCCTCCACCTAACCCTCAGTTTCTGTGGCAATGCTGAAAAACACTTTCCTTTCTCTTTCCCTTTTTGGCCATTTTAGATGCTTACTTGTATTATTGTAAATGTCATGGGTACACAATACATCATGAAACAGCAGCTCAATTTTATGTTAGTCTGTCTCCCCAAGTAGATGGAGAGGGGGTATTCTTGAGAATTGACCTTCAGTCATATCAGTGCCTTCTGTAACCATACCAAGGCCTAACATACAGGTAGTACCCTAGATGTTACTGAATCCATGAAGATCTACTTGCTATTCACACCTTACATCACACCTGTGATGCGATGCTGACATTATGGTATAAATATTCAGGTTATTGCCTAAGGGTTATAAAAAATATGAGCAAATTTTGTGCTTACAAGCCCCAGAACTGGCAAAAAAAAAGTTTTCTAAAACACAGCTTAATGAACAAACCATAAGGAACTAGACATGTTTGACTATGTTAAAGTTCAAATACCAAAAATACCAATAAAAATAAGGTATGGAGTAGGAGTAAGAGTAAGAATTATTGTCCTAAAGATTTAAAGAAAGAGGAAGTGGTGCTATGGGTCAAGTGATAGGGCACTTGCCTTGAGCTGAAGAGCTAAGTGACATTGCCCAGGCCCTGATTTCAAGCCCCATGACAGGCAAAAAAAAAAAAAAAAAGATTTAAAGAAAGGGCTGGTAATGGGGCTTAGTAGTAGAGTGCTTGCCTAGCATTCATGAGGCCATTGGTTCAATTCCTCAGTACCTTATAAACAGAAAAAGCCAGAAGTAGCACTGTGGCTCAAGTGGTAGACGCTGGCCTTGAGCTGAAGAGCTGAGGGACAGCATGGAGGCCCAGAGTTTAAACCCCAGGACTGGCAAAAAACAAACGACTTTTTCATTCTGCATCCCAGGAATAGTCTTTGTATGAGTTGGTGGTGTTGTGATTGTGAACGTTACACTATAATATCAAGTATGACATAAGTGCTACTTTCATGCTTCAAAATTTAGAGATTGGGAGCGGGGGTATACAGATACTTGAGCCTGAACTCAGGGCCTCACATTCACACTTGAGTTTTTCTGCTCATAGCTGGTTCTGTACCACCTGAGCCAAACCTCCAACCTAGCTTTTTACTGGTTAATTGGACATGGAATGTTACAGAGTTTTATGTCTGGTTTGACTTCAAATCATGATCCTCAGATCTCTGGCTCCTGAGACAAAAAAAAAAAAAAAAAAGAAAGAAGCTCAGGGACAGTGTCCAGGCCCTAAGTTCAAATCCTTGGACTAAAAAAATAAACAAACAAATATTTAAACAAAAATGTAGGGAGAAGGAGGGGATGGGAGGGAGAGGATGGAAGAAGAGGGAAGGGGGAAGGAAGAAGGAGGAAATGGGAAGGAAAAAGGAAGAAGGGAGTAAGGAAGGGAAGGAGGGCGGGAAGGCAGGGGAGCAAGAGGGAACAAAGATAGGCCCATACACTCTGCTAAATGAGCTGAAGCTCTGCTTCTTCATTTTTGCTAGTTAGTTGGAGTTAAGATTCTCATGGATGTTTTTTGCCTGGGCTAGCTTTGAAGTACTATCCTCAGATCTACTAGTCTACTGAGTAGCTAGGATTATACATGTAAGCCATTGGTATCTGGCTGCTAAGTTCACTTATTTTTATTTATTTTTAATTGTATCAAATTCCAGTAATTCTAGAAACTCAAGTAATAGCTAGGTCAAAGATTAAGGATTTGTTGTTGTTTGTTTAAGCTACATTTAAAATTCTTTCCAGTCATTATTTCTTGTTCATGGATTTAACTTCCTCAGAAAAATTGACAGAAGGGAGAAACTTCTGTAAAGAAGTGAGGTAAAAGCTGGGCACTGGTGGCTTATGCCTGTAATCCTAGCTACTCAGGAGGCCGAGATCTTGAGTATCATGATTCAAAGCCAGCCTGGGGCAGGAAAGTCCCTGAGACTCTTATCTCCAATAAACCACTCAGAAAACCAAAAGCTGCGCTGTGGCTCAAGTGGTAGAGCGCTCGCCTTGAGCTGAAGAGCTGAGGGACAGCGCCCAGGCCCAGAGTTCAAGCCCCACGACCAACCAAAGAAAAAAAAGAAGTGAGCTAAAATCTGTGGCTCAAATAAAACTGCCACACAATAGCTTCGTCATCCCCCGCCTCCCTTCTCCAAAAAAAAAGATAGGCACATAGACAAATAGAAGCACAGGCAGTGTTTATTTTTTTCAGGTAGACATGCAAATGTTTTATTGCGAGTGGGGTGCTGGGCCTCTGGGGACAGGCCGGGGACCATCAGGGCGCAGCCTGGCCGCTGGCGCTGCCTCCGGAGTCCTTTGGCTTCATCACATCTGGAAGCTCCGGTGGGCTGGAGAAGGGCTCGATGTGCAGGGCCTCAACCGTTTCATCTTCCAGGAAGGCTAGGCCCACGGTGGCCGGGACATGCGGCCGCGCCGTCTGACTGGTGAAGCCACACTCCCTCAGCGTTTTCTCGTCGTCTAGAAGCTGGTCGTCCTTGTAGAGACGCAGCTTGTCTGGTGGCCGCTGGAGGATGCCCTCCACGATGCGCTTCAGCTCGAACACGGTGCTCGACTCCTTGGCGACCGTGAAGATGGTGGTCTTGTGGCGCCGGATCATGAGGAACACGTCCATCTTGGCGGCGGTGGCGGCTGCTTCGGGCGGCAGCCACTTCAGTCAGCCGGCTGCTGCGGGCTGCTGCGGGCTGCGGCGCTGCTTGCTTCTAGCGGCAGCTGGCTCAAAGCACCAGCCACCTCGCTCCGCCCCTTACCAGCAGCCCTTGCACAGGCCTGGCCCAGCATGCCCTGCATGCAGCCCCGCCCACTGTGGTACCACCATTTTAGGTCCATGCACTTTTTCTAAGACAAACACTTCCCTGGTCAATTAAATTCTGAAAATGTGCCCGATCGCATGAGGTCTCAGGTAAATGAACATTGAAACTACAGGAAATCACCACCCGCACTGGCAAAAAATGCAAAATCTGACCATCCCAAGTACTGCTGGGAGAACCCGCTGATGGAGGGCCCCGCCCTGTGCTGGGAGGGTACAAAGGGGAGCAGGAAGAGAGGGCGCAGGAGGGAGCAAAGATAGGCACATAGACAAATAGAAGCACAGGCAGTGTTTATTTTTTTCAGGTAGACATGCAAATGTTTTATTGCAAGTGGGGTGCTGGGCCTCTGGGGACAGGCCGGGGACCGTCACGGCGCAGCCTGGCCGCTGGCGCTGCCTCCGGAGTCCTTTGGCTTCATCACATCTGGAAGCTCCGGTGGGCTGGAGAAGGGCTCGATGTGCAGGGCCTCAACCGTTTCATCTTCCAGGAAGGCTAGGCCCACGGTGGCCGGGACATGCGGCCGCGCCGTCTGACTGGTGAAGCCACACTCCCTTAGCGTTTTCTCGTCGTCTAGAAGCTGGTCGTCCTTGTAGAGACGCAGCTTGTCTGGTGGCCGCTGGAGGATGCCCTCCACGATGCGCTTCAGCTCGAACACGGTGCTCGACTCTTTGGCGACAGTGAAGATGGTGGTCTTGTGGCGCCGGATCATGAGGAACACGTCCATCCTGGCGGCGGCTACTTCGGGCGGCGGCGGCTGTGGCTTCTGGCTGCAGCGTTGCTTGCTTCTGGCAGCAGCTGGTTCAACGGCAACGTCACCTCGCTCCGCCCCTTACCAGCAGCCCTTGCGCGGGCCTGGCCCAGGATGCCCTGCATGCAGCCCCGCCCACTGTAGTACCACCATTTTAGGTTCATGCACATTTTCTAAGACAAACACTTCCCTGGTCAATTAAATTCTGAAAATGTGCTCGATCGCATGAGGTCTCAGGTAAATGAACATTAAAACCACAGGAAATCACCACCTGCACTGGCAAAAAATGCAAAATCTGACCATCTCAAGTACGGCCGGGAGAACCCGCTGACGGAGGGCCCCGCCCTGTGCTGACATCACTGCCACGCCTCCTCCCTCCCTCTCTGGCAGGGCAGGGCATCAAAGGAGATCAGGCAGTGGGTGGCTTGGCGGGAGTTGGGGGGGAGTGGAAAGGGACACGCAGCGGAGACTGAAGCAGGGAGAGGTCTGTGATTCCCATGGGAGCCCGTGAGAGGTGCACGAGACCCGTGGAGTCTTAGGAGAAGCCCGTGAGAGGCACGTGAGGCCTGCAGGAGCCCACGAGAGGTGCATGAGTCCTGCCCAGTTCTAAGAAAAGCCCGCGAGAGGCACATGAGGCCCACAGAGACCTGAGCCAGCAGACAGGCCTGCAGAAGTCCTGTACAGAAGTAGAGAGGCCTAGGGAAAGGGCTGTGGAGAGGCAGAGAGGCCAGCAGACAAGCTAAGAGGCCAGAGGAGAGGTGGAGAGCTGAGAGCCTACAGAAAGGCAAGACCTGTGGGAAGGAGGGAAAACAAAAAACACACACTTCTTGGAGGTTGCACCTGCTCCTACTTCTAAGGTAGCCGAGGACAGGCCATGTGCAGACCAACTAATAAAACTCCTTTCTTACCTTTAACCATGCTTCCGTGGGTTTTCTTTGCTCACAGGTTATTACATTGGCAATGAAGCAATACAACAACACCAGCTCTCACACCCCAGTCTAAGTGTGGAAATGGTAAGGCCACTTTGGCACCATCGAATAAACCTGCAGTCTGGTGGAACAGCACTGAAAGAAGTGGAGTTGTTTTTAAGTAAGTCTCCAATGAGGTGACCTTCTGAAAGGAATTGCAGATTTGAAGGCCAGGAACCAGGCTGTAGAAAGCAGCACTCGGGAAAGGACACCATTGTAAGTCACCTCTGATGAACTGAGCCAAGTACCTTTGCAATTTTAGACAATTTGTGTTTATTAGCCCTTCACATGCAGTGACCTTTGTGACCGGTGGGATGTTTTAAAGGAGTTCACTGGCACATAACAAAACCCCATAGCAAGGTGAATATTTTTCAACTTCTCTCTACATTACTGTAGCAGTCTGATTCTGCCATAAGAAGGTTATTTGTTCTTTAAATCCCAAAGCCTGGCAGGCACTGGTGAGAGGCTGAGATCAAGTGGCTGAGATCTGAGGATCCTGGTTCCAAGCCAGCCCAGGCAGAAAAGTTCATCAGCCTCTGTGGAGTTTTTTTGGACTTTTTTTGCAAGTCCTAGGGCTTGAACTCAGGGCGTGGGCACTGTCCCTGAGATTCTTTTGCTTAAGGCTACTACTCTACCGCTTGAGCCACAGCACCACTTCTGGCTTTTTCTCTTTATGTGGTACTGAGGAATCAAACCCAGGGCTTCATGAATACTAGGCAAGCACTCTATCACTGAGCCACATTCCCAGGCCCCTGAGACTCTTATTTCCAATAAACCACCAGAAAAACAGAAGTGGCACTGTGACTCAGTGTTAGAGCACTCACCTTGAAAAGCTCAAGTGCAGCACCTAGGCTGCCCTTGTAATTAATTAAATGACAAAGCCCATGCATTTAGGCCTCAATGCATTCATTCCATGAAAGAGAAAATAGGCCATCTGTTTTTCTTGTTTATTCATCTCTCTCCATATTCAGTACCCAGTGATTCTTACTGTTAAGTTGAACCACTAAGTCCTTTATACACTACTGGCTCTTCCATAGTCAAACTACCAGACAGACATATCATCTTTCTGAGGATTTACATTTCATATTATTCCTTGAGTTATTTATATTTTCATTCTATCCTAATTGATTACTATGGCAACCAAACCCTGAGAATTCAGAGCTCAACTGGGCATGGTCTTCACCATCCAGAAGCTTACAAAGCCTTTAAATACAACAGTTAACCCTAACCAGTGTTAAGCCAGATGCCAGTGGCTCATTTCTATAATCCTAGCTACTCAGGTGGCTGAGATCTGAGGATTGTGGTTTGAGGCCAGCTCCAACAGAAAACTCCATTGAGACATTTATCTCCAATTAAGTACCAGAAAACTGATAGTACAGATCGGGCTCAAATGGTAGAGCCCTAGCCTTGAGTGAAAAAGCTCAGAGACAGTGTCCAGACCCTGAGTTCAAGCTGCAGTGCCACACACACCCCCCCCCACAAAAAAGTGTTAACACACAAATGGAAGATCACCCAACCCTTTTTCAAATACGACCTTTCAGGACATATCAAGAACACCTAGCATCTGTACTGCTCCTGTTAATTAGCATTTAACATAGCCAGCCAGCTTGGAGATGTGGAGAAACTGAAGAAGCACAGACTATTTGGGGAAAATGTAATACATTCATGATTGTGAATACTGAGAAGGCAGGGCTATTAGTATTTTCCAGATTCCACTGCTTCATTTAGTCTAAAAGCAGCCACAGTACAACAGAATGGGCAGTTTGGCTGCACTGGCTTAAATTCTAATGTCCTTTCACTCAAATTTTTAAAACCTGACATTTGCTGAGAAACAATAAAAGATATCATTTGAACACTTAAACTATGCCAGGCACCAATCTAAACATGGATTCTTTCACTTGATCTGCAGAACAATCCAGATGGTGATGCTCTTATTATTCCTGCCTTACAGATGCACAGACAGGAGCCAGAACCAGGAAATAGCACACACAAGAATTTCAGGCCAAATCTGTGAAGGAAATAACCCATTTTTACTCACTGTGACTTTTGTCCTTAGGGAAGTATGAAAGACTCCCATATTCTCTGTACCTCCCTAATTTGAAGCCATGTTGAGGGGCTCCATTCCCAATTCCTGGGTCAAGATGAGTTAACACCAAGTTGGAGTGCTGGAAACTTATTTACAAACAGTGCCGATACCATTTAGAAGTATGTGCACTACCTAAATTTTGTCTTTTGAGAAAAACTATCCATCCAACTATAAAAATTGCCTTGACAAAAAAAAAAGAATTTCAGGCCAACGATTTGAGTTGAGGGCCTCTGCTCAAAACTACTTTTTTGGGCTGGGAATGTGGCTTAGTGGTAGAGTGCTTGCCTAGCATGCATGAAGTCCTGGGTTCAATTCCTCAGTACCACATACACAGAAAAAGCTGGGAGTAGCACTGCGGCTCAAGTGGTAGAGTATTAACCTGGAGCAAAAGAAGCTCAGGGACAATGCCCAGGCTGAGTTCAACCCCCAGGACTGGCAAAAAAACAAACCACTTTTTCATTCTGCATCCCATGAATAGTCTTTGTAAGAGTTGGTATTGTTGTGATTGTGATTATTACACTATAACATCACTAAGTATGACATAAGTGCTACTTTTATGCTTCAAAATTTAGAGATGGGGGCAGTATACAGGTACTTGGGCTTGAACTCAAGGCCTCACATTTGCACTGAGTTTTTCTGCTCATAGCTGGTGCTCTACAACCTGAGCCAATCCTCTAGCCTAGCTTTTTACTGGTTAGTTGCACATGGAATGTCACAGAGTTTTCTATCTGGTTTGACTTCAAACCATGATCCTCAGACCTCAGCTAGCATTATAGGTAAGCCATCAGTGCCCAGTTCAAGGATGCTTCTTAAGTCTGTCTTAGTCCACTCCTTCAGGCGAGGAGCAGAGAAGAAATAATGCTACCTGTAACTGTTATCTTCTGTGTCCCAGAGCAGAATACAATTTGGTCTTCTGCTCCATACTTACCAAGAGAGTATGTTTGCCCAATGCCATGTTCCCTAAGTTTCCAGAAAGTGCTTCTTTCAGAGACCCACAAACGT